AAGATACTAACAAAACGAAAGAGATGCTAAGGGTTGCCGAAATGAAAACCCTAAGAACAATAATGGGGAAAACAAGAAGAGACAGAGCGAGAAATAAAAACATTAGAGAGCAGTGCAAAATTCAAGATATTGTAAGATGGGGAAGGCAGCGCAAGAGGATATGGTACAACCATGTAAGACGAATGGATGAGACTCCCTAAAATTGCCCTAGAAAACAATCCACCCGGTTCAAGACCCCCTGGAATACCACCTAAAAGATGGAGGGATAGTTGGCAATCTACCTCCTAAGAAATTAACCAGAGGCAGCTTCAGAATTAAACAGATCGAAAGATCTACAAAAAGTAGAAGAAGAAGATACGGAGTAGTGGCTATACCTACTAAGGAGACCTAAAGAGTACTCTGTATCGAATCAAAATCTAATACCGTCATTATGCCTTATTTATTTTTTAACAATATTAAAAATGTACAATTATTATAAGCTATAGGAGTTTGCCCACTCTCTTCTACCAAAACGTGATTTTGTGTATTATTGACCTTTTGCATTTGGGAACTAGAAGGTCCAGATTCACTTGTTCTACTGAGATTTTCGATCAACTTCTGGTGGTGACTGGAATCCAGCTGCAGATATGGCCTTAGAGAGCTTGCGTTGTAGTGAACCGTTTATTTAATTACCTCCTGTTCAGAAACACCTTGCTTGAACAAGACTGGCACAGCTAAAGATCGATGAGAAAGTTTTTTAGCTGAAATTTTTGTCCACTTAGATACGGTGTTGATTTCAAGTGGACAGTTTTTTAACGAAGATCCATTCTTCCAGTTTAGGTGAACGGTAAGGAAGAATATGTCTGATAAAATCTTTGATATCCTTTTTTCCATTAATTTTAAAAATAAACTAACTGGGAATAAATTTCCGTTTGATGAATTTCTTACCAGCCATTTGCTTGTATTTGCAACTTTTCGAACCACCTTGATTTTTTTTTGGAAAAAATTCTGTTGTATTCAATTTGGTCCGTAAATTCTGCCTTAACATCAAATCCATTATTGCTTATGCAAACAAGTTCAAATGAGCAAAGGTGAAAAACTTTTTTTGTGCTCCCTCGGGGTTTCCTCGTCGGAGTTTAGGATTAATTTTAATGGTTCGTTGGTTGATAATGCTTTTGAACTGAGTGTTCTTTTTGCTTAAACACTTTGAAGCTGCTTCCGCTTGATAGATCTGGCCAATTTTGTACATTTGAAAGCAATATTTGTAAAAGGGTCGATTTATATGCCGTACTTCGTAAAATATTTTTCTTTTAGCATTTTTGCTGTAGTTTTTAACATTGACGTTACAGAGGACACTTTACAGTCTTCGTCAGTGCCTTTTTTCATGTTAAAGGCATAATCCTCCAGAATTTTTGATAGTTCAGTTATGGTAGTACATCTTTAAAGCGTAAAATTTCTCACTTGTGGGAACTCTAAAAAATGGGTCTAAATAGAGCTTCTGGACATCTGCGTGTTCAATGGAACATTTTCCGAAACCAACTTTTTGATTTCTTCATTTGACTGGCATCTAAATCTTGAGTTTTGTCTGGATCCATTATATATGTCCAAAATTAATTACGCCTCAATGATGTTTGTCAAATAATATCTGATAACAATAGAAATGCCAGACACCTTGTAACGGATCTGTCTTAATTTTGTCGCTGAGAAATCACGGGTTGGAAGAAGTTTTGTTAGTAGAAAACGTAGTGTTGCCATGACTTTTATCAGTTAAAAATAGTCTAGTGAAATAATTGCCATTAACTAGGAAAATATCGACCGCACAAAAAAAATTGCAATAAAAGATTGTGGGATATCGCATTTGGAACAATTTTTTTTTTCTACCATTTTTGTCGAAAAGTTAAAAGTAGCAGAGATATTGAGCACAAACGGTCATACTTTTAACTTAAGATGGCGGATAACGCGATGGCGGAATTAAGTCACAAAAACGAAATTTACGCTACTATCGAGTCCGTTTTCAAAGTTTATAACAACAAATTTACATCTTGAATAGACTAAAATGATAGTTTGCATAAAAAAATTTTGCATAGCTACCTCATTTCTACTTTCTTTGACATTAAATCAATATAGCTTTTACCGTTCTATAAAATATGATATGTATGCACTGAACTGCAAAAAAGTGGCTACACTAATAATTTCCGAAAATAAAAATTCATTGGAAGTTCTATGCACTGTCTAAATATTTATTGCGATTATGTATGCTTGTTTTTGACAGTTTTGACGTTTATGTTGCTGTTTTTTGTAGTTGAAAACATTTAATTTAACAATAATTTATTTTTTCAAACGACGAAGTGAATAACTAAAATGGTGTTATCTGCAGTAGATGTTGCTCGAATTATTGCATTGCTACTCAAAAAAAGTAAAGTTTATGTTTACGAAATTTTAGGTATTCCAATAACTACAGTACGAAGAGCCTTCCATCGCTTTATACAGACTGGTACATGCTTACTTCGACCTGGTTCCGGTTAGAATCAGATAAGAATGACCTCGCAAAAAGATGATCGTTTGATTGTGATGCAACGTTTAAGAAAACGCGATTTTACTGTAATTGTTGCAATAAATCTTATGCAGGAAGTTCGAAATATAAATGTAAGTGAAAGAACGGTTGGAGAACTTCTTTCTTCTTTATGTGCCATGCTTGATTATCGAGCGTTGGCTATCAAATTGGCTATAGTAATTTTGTTGACGGCAGCTTAGGAAAAGAGATGCAGAGGATCTGTTAAACCAATCTCTCAGGTTTCTAAGCCATGATGTTCTTCTTCGACCTTGCTCTCTTCTACCTTGCCTTGTAGTATTAAATGGAGTATATTAAATCTCTTTGAGTGGCACATATTATGGCTAAAATATTCAAGTTTGCGATTTTTAATCGTTTTGACGACTTCCGTACCTTTTCCCATCCGATGCAAAACAACTTCGTTACGAACTCTATCTACCCAACTTATTCGTAGGATTCTCCGATGCACCCAGATTTCAAAGGCTTCCAGTTTCTTGAGAAGTCTATCCGTCAAAGTCCAACCTTCGACATCATAAAAAGAGTAGAAAACATATAACATCTCACTTATCTAATTTTCAGACTTATAGTAATATTGTTTCTACATAACAGTTTCTTCATATTAAAGAATGCAGCTCTGGCCTTCTCTATCCGTATTCTAATTTTTTTGCTCATGTCCCAGTTCTCAATCAGATTACAACCAAGGTAAGTGTACTGTTAGTTCTCTCCAGTAGTTCACCATAGGTTAGAAGACGCCTTAGTGAAAGAGCACTTATGGCAAGAAGACCACTATTGTTTCCTAATTACTATCCAGACACTGTAGAAATCGATTAATTTTTGCTCGGCAGTATCAATACTGGGATATACAGGATTAGAGTCAAATACTTTTTACTGATGAATCGTGGTTCTGTCGAGGTCTGGCGATGGACAAGAGAAGGTTTTGAGATCATCATCATCATTGGCTTTTACAACTCTTCGTGAGTTTTTGCCGCGTTTACTATTGCTTCCATTGCTACTACTTCCATTGATTCCGATCCTGTGCTATTATTTCCCATGGCCTTACTTCCATCTTCTCCAGGTCTTTACTGACTGCGTCTTTCCACCTTTTTCTAGGCCTTCCTGTCGATCTTTTACCATCTGGTCTCCAAAACACATTGCTAATCAGTCTGTCGTCATCACTCCGTACCACATGGCCTGCCCATCTTAATCTATTGACTTTTATGTATCTTACGATGTTTCCTTTCCCAAAGAGAGTCTCTATTTCATTGTTGTATCTGCTCCTCCATTTATTTGTCACGCTGTCCCTGCAAGGACCATATATAATTCGCAGGATTTTGCGTTCCCATACTAATAGCTTATTGATTTCTTTTTTTCTCAAAGTCCATGTTTCACTTCCGTATGTCACTGCTGTTCGTATTATGGTTTTGAACATTTGGATTTTGGCACGCCTTGAGAGAAGCTTTGACCTCATTAGATGTTGAATGGCAAATAATGATTTATTCCCCGCCAGTATTCGTATTTCAACCTCCCGTTCTCCTGTGTTTTCACTGGTAGGGTTTTGAGATGGAGACATAAAAGATATGCCTAAGCTTGTATGTCCAAGAAAAGAAAGGTAGGCGGTGGTGGTATCAAGGTTTAGGCTGAAATCTCATTGGAAGCTCTAACCAAACATATTTTCATCAATGAAATGTTCTGAATGCTCACCGGTATATAGAGGATGTTTTGACAGAAGCAGTAGTTCCATTTGGTCCATTTATTGGAGACAATTTCGTCTTTATACATGATAATGCATAGCCGCATACCGCAAGAATCGTGACAAATTACTGAAAGGATGACCAGCCTGCAGCCCTGATCTGAATATCATCGAACATCTTTGGGATAAACTTTCTCGTAAGGTTAGAAATTACCCGGGCCAGCCAAAACTCTTAAACAACTTACAAAACTTGCAGAATTGTGCTTCGTAAAGAATATGAACTTATTTCTTAAGTTTTTATTTAAAATTTGTTCCTTTCCCTTGCGGTACGTATGTAAACGGTTATTATTGTTATAGGGCATAATACCCAATATAAGACAATGTTGTTGAAGTTTACTTGTAATTTTTATTATTTCTAAATTTTGATATTACACTATTTTATTTTATAGTCTTCCAATTAAATAAAATATGCTGAGGAATCAAGCAATAATAGTCATTTTTTGTTTTAAAAATAAAAGATGTTGAATATACAATATTATCAAACAGTGCATAAAACTTTGCCACAGCAAACAGTGTCACTTTTTTGCTGCTCACTGTAGATGCTACAATTCATTAAATTCACCCCGACATTGATTAAATAAAAATTCATAAAATAAATGTAGAGTTAAGACTGTTATGGTACGGTTATGACTCTAAATCAATTTGCTTTTCATTATCAATATAATTGATCCTTAACCTTAAACGATTTATTACTTTTTTTTCGGTGCTGAGTTAATGAATTGTAGTAACAATATTAGTACTAATTTGACAAATTGATTTTAACAACTTAAAAATAATTTTCCGGAAATGACAGTGGAAAAGGTTGAAATAACTGAAATGGAGAATAAGGCTGGAGGAAACAAACGATTTCCATGGACATTGTGGTTCTGTGTAATTACAGGTAATTTCAAATATTTATTTATATATTTTTATTTTGTATTTATTTTTACCTAGTTTAATTCAGTCCTGTGTCTTGTGAATAATTTGCGATAATCAATAAAGTTTTAATTTTATTCAACGCTGACATGTTTACAAATAGGTTCCAGAAATTGTTATTTTAACTTAAAAATTTGAAAATTTTAACTTGTGATGTGAGAAAATGTTTTATTTTTTTTTCTATATTCAAGCAAGTCCGGCTGTGACACACAAAACACAAAACTCTTACGGATTACTTTGTTCAAATTAAACGTTCTATTGATGGAAAATATTGACAGAAAACGTCCATTATCACATTGCATATCCATGTGTAAAATCGATTTGTTTAGATACATATCTTCCGAAGTTGTTATATTCTTGATGTGCCTATCCGTTACGAATGTTGGCGATCATCATGGCAATCGTTATCTTGTCTGTAGCAGCGCGGAAATGCTGCACAGATGTTGTATTGTACCAGATCCTAAGTCTATTTAACTAACTTGTTCTCCTTCTTCTTGGACCTCGTTTTCCAAATATTTTTCCTTGTAGGATGGCTAGAAGAATATCACATCTGGATTAATTTCGCATGGTTGGTAAAAAACCAGTTTAGGTTCCAGTCTGTTAGTAATTATTCTCATAAAGAGCCTATAAAAATAAGATAACAAGTTGATAGGTCTGTACTTTCCAATTTCTGTTACATCTCCTTTTTTTGTGCAATATTATCATAATTGCACAACTCCATTTTCTGGTGTAACTACTTTTAAGAGACAGGCATTATAAAGGGGTTTTAAAGCTTTTATGACGCATTCGCCTTCTAATTTTAGCATTTCACTTACAATGCCATCCTGTCCAAGTGATTTGCTATTCTTCATACCTTTCAACGCTAATTCGGTTTCCTCTTTTGGAAGGTTTTATATAGTTGTGACAAAAGGGAAATAGGACGGTAGTTGTTTAGGTCTGTTTGGTCTCCTTTCTTATGTACTAAGATTGTGTTGGCATTTCTTTATTATTTATGTTTATTTAGTGTTTATGTTACCTTCAAACAGACATTTGTTGAACAGTATCTTTAGCATTTTTTATCGTGTCTCCTCCGTCTTTTAGCAGTTCCGTCAGTATTTTGTCCTCACCGGTTGCTTTTTCTCTTCATCTCGTTTATAGATTTTTCGATTTCTTCTGCTTCTTCTTCTTTAGCCTTTATTTATTCATTTTCGATTTCATCTTCAGTTATTTCTGGTAATACCTCTGAGCCACCATTTTGTATTTTCCTCGAGAGATTCTGTTTAGATGATAGTGGTGGGTCATTTTTAGAACTGTATAGGTCTGTGTAATATCTTTCTGTGATTTTTACTATTTCTCCTAGATCTCTTTCTTCATTGTTCTCGGCTTTAAGCATGATTAGTTTTCTTTTTCCTATATTTGTTTTCATTGTTTTTAAACTTTTGTTCTTTTCTAAGATTTTTTTAATGCGATCTTCTTGGTATTTCTTTAAATCTTCCTTTATCTGTTTTCTTATGGTTTTGTTCAGTTCGGTTAACTCCACTGTATTTCTTATGTTATTATTCAGGTATGAAAAATGAATAAAAAAAATAGCAAAAACAAATAGGGTAAATTCAGTTTTCCAGGGTTTTAGCTATAGCACGATTGACACACAAAATAAATAAATATAAGGTAAATAAATAAACAAAATAAACGAAAATTAAAAGTAAGATGAAATCAAAAACAACAGTACATACATGTTCTATAAGTACTTATCCTCTTTAGCGATATTTTTCTTAAAATTATCTACCAAAATGTCTGTCTCATTTAACCTACATTCTTCTAATTTGGCATCAGCTCAAATCTGATCAAAATATCTCCTAATCAACCTATATTTATGATTATTTTATTTACTGCGCTTAATTATTATTTCCAAATCTATTTAGCTCTTTTTTTTAGTAATTACCATATTGGGTAAATAAAATTACCTTTAACAATGCTCATCTATTCAAATATTCTAAATATGTCAATAAACCATTAATTTTGGGTCAATATGTACAATATTTTTATATAATTATCTGTTAAACGATTTTTGAATGTCTACAAAATGTGAATAGACTATGCAATTAAAATTTAATTTATCCATTGTCACTTCTACACCCATATTTACAAAAAAATTCATAAGTATTCTAATCAATGTCGTTCCTTTTTGTATTTATTTACAAAATTAAATTAATTGTTTATTTGTTTAAGGGATATCTTTATTATCTGTAAACAGTAAACATGCAATAACATTGAATAGGATATAATATATCTATATACATATTCGGTTAAGTTTACCGAAGGTATAAACTGAAGATAGCCGCAAATGTCAAAAATATTTCGGTTTCGCAGTGTTGGCATGTTTGTATAATGCATGTGTATATGCAAGCTTTTAAAAAGTACATATTAATTATACTATTTTATGAATTCTGCAATTTTTAATTTATGTAAAGCAATAACGAGTAGATATTTGTCTCTTTCGAAATTAATTGCAAACATATATTGTAATCTAGCAAATACTGATTTCACGATTGCCAAATCTATCCCCTAATCTCTCAAAGGGTAATTGCTAAAAAAATTTGTAATAATTATCTGCAGTTAATCTACAAAGAAACAAAGATTTACTTATTGTAGTTTTATATAGATCAAAAATTGTAGAATTCATAACATAATATAAACTAAATGTATTATTCTAAGGCTTTACCTTTTTATATTTGAAGCACACAGCATCTACATTATAGAAACATGCCAACACTGTTCTACCGAAATTTTTTGTTCCATGTTTAACATTTGCGACTATAATCAGCTTGTACTTTCGATAAACTCAATCAGATATTCTATAATATCTCGAAAACTATAGGTAATTGAATCCCAAAAATTAAAATGAAGGAGATTTGAAGAGTAATCTATTTAATGAATACATTTTCAGTTCCAGTTATACCAAAAGTTGCTTATAACTTCGTTTTTTTAATGGGACACCCTGTATATTTTTTAATTTTAGAAATACTCGTCTTCTCCTGAACATTTCTTGTTAATACTTCTCTATACAAATTGTAAATTGTTCTTGAGTAATAATGGTTTGTATATGAAAATTACACTTTTCTACCACTTATATAAAGTTCAATATTCTTTTTTATAATTTGAATAAAAGTTTAAATTTCTCTGGAACTTATTAACTAGATACAGCATTATCATTTAAAGTGTAAAGTAGCCTTTATTAGCCTATAGCTATTAGCCTATTAGCCTAGTAGCCTATTTCATTATACAGGGTGCTGGCAAAATTGGCATAAAACTGGCTTCCAAAATTTTTGGCCAATTCCTTTTTTTTCACAACGGATACCCTGTATGTGATTCATTATTTAAAAAAATATATGTTTTTTCTGATCTACCTGTATTAGTATTCCCTATGCCTATCTTTTGCAGTTTTCAAATAAATTAGCTTTATATATTTTTGTCACAAAAAAAATTTTTCGTAGAGTGTGTTATGTTGTGTTAATTTGCAACTTGTATATTGTAAGTTAAACATTGAACAATATAAAAGATGCTACCAGAGAAAATGGGCACGAGCTTAATATTCATGTTAATGTGTTAAATGTTCAAAATGTTACCAGCAACATCCAATCATTTATGAACTCTTTTAATTTTCAGAGAGTTTCATTAGTAGATATTGATATTTATTCTTTATCTATTTTCGGAATCTTCGTGACCAGAGAAACGGATTTTTATTAGCTAGTCGTCTAACGCTAAATATTTCATTAAGCAATTTGCCGACTCCTTAATTATTATGAGCTGGTGCTCCATCTTGTTGAAACCAATCCTCGTTAACCTTTAATATATAAAGCCTGCAATGCTGGTACAATTACTTGCCATAAAATGTTGCTCTCCAGTACATTTTACATTTTTTCATGCATACAGAATAGTTACGTTTTCCATTTAAATTTTTGTCATAAATCATAAGGGCGACTATCTTATTGTTTTTCACAATACAAAATACATTGAACGAAAAAAATGCATGAAATTTACTTCTCCCACGTGAGTTAAGTATTTTCGTCCCTCCACAAATGACTGTTGTGGCCAGTAAACATACCATTTTTTTGTAAACTTGATTCATCACATTAAATACTTTTTTTTCGTAAAATCTTGAACTTGACATGTCATTAAAAACCATTCACAAAATTCTACACGTCTAACATATTCTCCAGGATTTAAATGTTGAGCTAGTGTATGTGAATAAAGGGTCCAATGATGTTTTTTAAATGTCTGTGAACTATTCGAGTCCATACCTGTAAAAATTGTTCGCATTACCGTAAGAATGAATTTGATTTAGCTACAAAATATCCCAGTTAAGTCTTTATTATCGATGTGACTTAAACGTCACACCCAAAATTCATTGAATCCCTATTATGTATTATAATATGCATGGCACAAATATCTTTCTGCTACAGAAACTAAAAAAAAAAACAAATGACATGACAATTTTAAAAGTTATTAGCTTATGAGATATTTAATTTGTAATAATATTATCAGTGTTTGTTTTTATTTAAACTGCTAGTTAATGAATCGTAAAATAAATATATTTTAAATGTTTTAATAAGCATAGAGATAATTTGTTGATATCTTAAAATAAAAAATCATCGTGAAAGACTTATAATTCCAAATGTTTTTTTTTTCATAAATAAACCTGAAAATGAATAATTTTACAAAGAATCAAGTAGATAATATGATCTCCAATGTTTGTATGAAGCTTTAGTTTAGCTGTTAGTTGTTGAGTTGTTACTTAGGTGTTGATATTTTTCTTATTTAAGTTTCTTCTTAAGATATTGTGGGATAATTCGGAGAAGACGAAATTAGAAACGAAAATGGAAGTCGGCTAATCGAAATATGTCGAAAATACGATTTAGCCATAACCAACACAAGATTCCAGCATAAAAACATACATAGATACACATGGGAAGAACCTGGTAGAAA